TATGTAATTGATTAGCAGTGCCTCACAAGTCTTCCTTGACCTCCAGAAGAAGGCTGAATGGCTGATCTCCCCTCCCAAGGCATTGATCTGGTGTGGATGATGCCAGGGAAGTACAGTGGGGGAGGGGTGTCGCAGGTCAGGGCAACTGCCCCTGTATTTGCCCCTCATGGTCCAGCCAGTCACCCCAGTCATCACCTCTCTTGGGCGAGACCTGCGTCTCTCTCCTCCCTGCCCAGGGCATTTCCAGGATGCACAGCTTCCTGCCCACACTGTGAGTTCCCCAGCAAGTCAGACCCCCTCAGCCGGCCTGCTTTGCCCTCCTTCCTCTGAGGCTACAAACAGCCCAGTCTCCCAGGGGTATAAGGTACCACACAGCTGTTAGCAAGCATATGGATTCTTAAGGTATAAGCATTGCAAGGAAACCCTCTTAAAACCCAGCAGAGAACCAATACACCTGCTAATAAGCTTTCCAGAGATCACCCTGCTTCCAGTCAGGTATCTCACAGGCAGTGGGTTTCTCCTGGGGGAGCAGCTTCCAGCGGCTGAGGTTTTGCATAAACAGAGGCGTTATATTTGCATATCCCTCCCCCTAGAGATTTCCTGGGAAACATACTTAACTTTAAAAGGCCCAAAAGTTTCAGATGGTCCCTCAAAGCCCATAACGCTTCCCTGGGTTTCCGTTGTAGACGTCACATACAGTCCCACAATAATACATAACCGCCTGCCTTTGCAATGCAATGAACTCCTAAGCAACTTAAACTTAGTTCTGTAAGGTATGGCCAGGATAGTGCAGGAAATCGTCTTATCTGTCCTGTGTCCATGCAAGGATCCCCCTCCCTCCCACCCACCTGGGGCTGGGCTTGATGGCGGGAGACAGTGGCTGGTGAGCCAAGCCTGTTTCTATAAATAATCCGGAGAGAGTAGGAGACAAAGTGAAAGTTGGTCAGACAGACTGAGCCGCGGCTCCTGCATGTGGCTGGGGGAAGCAGATGTGAATTCAGCCCCCCTCTGTGGGGCTCCACGGGTGATGGACTGTGGGGACGAGAGGGTGAAGGGGGTGTGGGCGGGGGTAGTTAACCAGCAAATAGCTGAACCCCAGAACCCTTTCAGGGCTGCCCTGCCCTATCCTATGGGATCAGGGGAATCACCATAATCTTGGTCTCCTTCCCTCCAGCAGTGAATCAGTCACGTCTGTAGCATGTTGTCCTGCTTCGCTGGTGCATTTCAGGCCCTCGCCTGGCCTATTTCTCAGCCCTTTCTTTAAGGCAGGGACAGGACTGGAGCACCGTGGTGCTGGGTTTCCACAGAAGTGTTGCTATTTACTGGGGGGCTGGGAGCTAGGGCCCTGGGGTTCTCTCCCTAACTCTGGAAAGGGAGTGGGTTGTAGTGGTGAGAGTGGGGCGGCAGGGATTTGACTCCTGTGCATCCATGACCCCAAGAACTGCAGCACCCAGATCTGGATCTAGGCTTTTAGCTTGTCCCCTTCCTGGCGTCTGAGCACCAGTGATCCCTGGGGGAGGACATTAACTTTATACACCTCCGGTGTGGGGGAGACTTGCCTGTGATGGTGGGGGTCGGGGTGAGCTCTGGGTTCAAAGCCACCCCCTGCTGCTGCTTTGTGCTTGGCATCGCTGCTGCAGCCATTCAAATCCCGTGGGCATCTCTTGCACTATTAAGAGCTGTGGGACTTGTCCTTGTCGGGAGCAGCAAGAGGCAGCGAAGATACAAGGGGCTCTCGGTACCAAATATCCCTCCAGATGCTGCAGATTCCTCCAATCCCCATCCCTCCTCCCATGGTTCTGGGATCTGGCAGCAAGGACGGGGAGCCCGGCTGGCGAAGGAAGGATCACCTGGTTGGATGCCAGAGAACGGGGCACTTGCTGTTCCCCGGGTGCTGCTGTGGAGGCTGCAGCTGGTTGTTTTAACACCTTTGTGGACAAAGCCCAACTGGAATTTGTGACTTTCACGGCTGCTTTCTGCAGCTGTGTGTGTGTGTGTGTGTGTGTGGAGTACCCCCTTGTGGGCTGTTGGTGTCATTGGTGCGTGCTGCCTGCATGGTTGAGAGAAGGCTCCACCTCTGCCCTTTGAGCTAAGGCCAAATCTCCTCCCGCTTCATCCCTTTTGCTGGCAGCAGTAGTAGATCCCGTATTCTCCCATTAGGGCAACATGATCCACGCCTCTTAATGTCATTTGACTGGAGGGGTGTA